CAGAAAATAACTTGTGAAATCTAAGCACTCAGATCATTCTTCTGTTGCATCGATGGCATCCTCGGGAAATTCGGATCCATTGGGGTTTCCGTGTCAATAATCCGTTTATTTGTTCACCTCCTGATGATAAATCTCGTCATCTAAACGAATTTCATGGTTTGAGTGTTGAACTTAACGATAAACATTTGTGGAATACATGCATTATCGAAATCATTCAAATATTAATGTTTCGTTGATTGTAAAATTGTTGTATGATCAAGCAATCAAAACGAAAGCAGTGCACGTATAAAAGATCATCAATTCATCACGTGCTATCATTCACTTCTGTTGTACTTGTTGAAATTTACACAAAGTTACACTGAAGTAAATCACTTTACAGAACCCTTTCATGAGAACGACAGATAACGAAAATTTTGTTGCCGTTTGTTGAGGGATGATGCGATCGATGCGCGTTGGCGATTATGATCGCTCGTCCGCAACAAATTAAGTCTGCAGATGTACATTTCATGAATGCGCACATTTAAGGCCAGTAACGTGCTTTGTGCTTCGTCCAATCGGCTATTTTTGTTTCGAAAAAAAAAAACTCATTCAATCGTTTGCTTGATTTCTAAATTTATCACAACAAACGACACCGTGCATTACGTACATCTTCATTAGGCGTGTTATGTGAGCACTACGAATGAAAGTATTACCAACTTCGTTCATTTATTTTGTTAGTTCTGACCTCTCCACCTCCAGATACTAATTTGTTTTTGTTCTGATAGTCTCCATTGCCTTAACGTGCTTGTGACATCCTGCATTTCGTTAGAATGAGCTATTCAGCTGTTTTTATATCAAAAGAATATTCTTTTGTTGTTTTCTCATATTTCTTACGATTCGATACTGTACTCGTTTGAATGCTTCGAAATTTATTTCCATCTGAAATCTGACGTTTACGCTGAAAATGCAGTGAAAATTGTGCAATGAACCTTTCTTTAGATGCTAAGTGTTAACAGATGATATAGCTTCCAGATAACCTATAAACTATAAACTGTACCTGACAATTGCAACTGAATTGAGGTTTTATTCAGTGACACAAACCAAATTCCTCGCTTATCAGCAAACTGTTCATTCACTATCGCCTTTACATTTTTTTCACTAAAAAAAACTTAAAAGTGCTTTAAGATTCGAACGTTCAAAATGTGAATTCTCATTCGAAGTTATTTGTAAACGGTAAACTGAGCGAATAATAATACTTTTACTTATTTGTGCATGAGCAATTAGTTGTTCAGTCGTGTCGATGATCGCAGTGCATGGATTGTGATCGGAGAATTTTTGATTGTTTGCGAGAGATGTTATATTTCAGATGTTTTATTAATGGATAATTTATTGAACAACTCGAAATTAATCAATTCCAAAAGACAATATTGCAATAGTCATTTATGGACATCATCAAGAGGGATGATTTCTGATCGAGCCGTTGGTGCGCTTCTTGGACAAGCTGTTGGTGATGCACTCGGATTTAGATATCAGTATCGATCTGGTGAGGATGTCACCAATCAAATCTGTATGGATAAAGACAACAGTGGATTTCTACCGATCAGAGGGAGTGCTGTATTCGACTTCCCGCCTGGACAGGTTTGTTCGTTCACTGTTGTACCGATTTTCACTCTGAATTTTCATCCATTTCAATTTTTTTGCCTATTTGTTTAAGTTGTTCCATCGAGTCGGTCATAAGTGCTATTCAGTGATATACTTTAAATACTCACGAGGTGCATTCGTTCTGAAAAAAAAAAACTTCTTTTATTAATCGATGATTCAGTAAGCGAATCAACAATATGAGAAAGTATCATAGGAACACTATCACAAGAAATTATTAGCCAAGTATTTTTGCACTTTGCAATCATTATGTTCAATATTTGATCATCTATTTCAATCAATCAGTCAATTTGTCTCTGCATTGTTCTCATTGCATTTAGTGTCTGTTCATCTCATGTCTGAAATTTTAACTTTAGAAAAATTTCAAAACGACTCATAGATTTGAATGGTAATTCCATTATTGAATGTGTAGCAAAAGATGAAAATGAAACCGTTTCAGCGAGAATGCGTTCAGATGCAATTCAACAGTTTAATGTAATATTGATGAAGTAATAATCGAAAAATATTCACAGAATGACTGTCTACTCGTGGCTATCACATCTGTCAGTCTCTAATTGTCATTATTGTTCAATTGCGTTGCATTTCTCATTCAAACGCAGTGCTCTCATGTGCCATAGAATAGTTCCTAGACATTTCTTTCAATGCACCCATTTTTAATTGCACGACATGATTTTCACACCTACTCAATCGGTTGTCACATTAAAAGTCAGCAAAATCATTTGTCGTGCGATCGCTTCAAACTGTTTTGTCGACGTTTCGAAGAATTGTTTGATTACANACACACACACACACGCTAATAGTTTGGGTCAATGAACCGAAATATAGTGCAAAACGTTGGTAAAGTACTGCCAAAGTCTAATGCTTGCTGGTCGATATTGCTCGAATTTTGGGGAATCAACAGTTGAATGATGTTCACTTATACTTTGATTGTTGATTCTTGAAGAGTTTAGTCGAACAAAGTACTGATAAGTGTAAGATGAGAATATGATTCGAAGCCCAAAAAACGACGATGAAGGTGATAACATTTGATTGATGGAAAACATAAAAAATGATCAGTGAACATCAACTTAAAACACTTGATACGGTTTTATTGATGGCTCTTTTTCGAGTGTTATACAGTGGAATGAGAGCGTTCGTTTTTGAAATGTGATGAGGAACTGATTGCCGACGATGCAGAAAAATATCTCGATTCGAAATTTTGCTGTTGAAATGTCGGGGCGATTCAAAGTTTTTGTGTTCGAGCAATCTCGGGCAATCACCGCCAAGCACCAAATTTCAATGCAATGTTTCACCCAAAAGCAACAAACAAAGCCGACGTGATTGTTTCATACTAGCCGTGCGAATAAACTTCATTTCATAAATATTCATAAAAATGACATGAACGAATACTTTTCCGGATGGATTTGCTGTGCCACTCAACGGAATTTAGCAACCTATTTGTCGATAACGATTTTCGAGGGGATCTCGCCGAAGTGATATACTCGTCTCATCGAAATGTGTGCGCCACCGGTTTATAATTAAACATGGATGCGGTAATCAAAATTAGATATGATAATGTTATTATTGTTGAAACAAAAATAAATACTGTACAAAGTCGATAATTTAACGATTTTTAACGCAGAGATATATATCTCCGAGGAGATTTAACGTTCGAATTCATCCTTTCATTCGTTTGTTCTTGTTATCATTCTGAACTCATTCAGTTCTTCTGTCAAATTCCTCTCAAAACTTGTTTCACACGAACCTCTTTGTCGCTCTGTTGTCGTCGTCTGTCTCTTTGCTCTCTCTCTCTCTTACCCGACCAGAAATCGCTTTTTGATAACATTCGAATTTATAACATATTTATAATTTATAACATCTTTAAATTTCGCACGTACAAACAAAGATGTGTTTCATTCAGTGCGTTCAATGGAATCAAAAAAAAGAAACGAATATAACATTGATCAAT